GAGGAGTGGGTTTCATTTAACAAATGAATCAGTTCACTTCATGAAAAGAAAAATTCATGTATTCACTCAATACACATCCTTCAACATTACTGATTCCAGCCATGTACACCATACTTGTCACATGTTTTCTTACCATCACATTTGCTGTGACTCTGTGTTTACACCTTGATGAAAAAATTCAAAGATCTGCCATTTTATTCCTTTGGGATACTTGCCTTGTCATAATAAAATAACTAAAATTTTTCTTTATTTGGCAAGCAAGTTCAAAATCTACTATTTTTTTTTACTTAATTCAAGTCCACTGATAATTTTTGTTCTTTTGAAAGTTTTAACTGTTACCATGCATTATCTGTCCACCTCCTACTGAGAGAGAAATTATTCCATGGAAAGTGCAGACCAATCTATTTTTATTCTCAAGTTGTGATGCAAAAAAAAAAAAAATCAATTTCACAATCTACCAACTGTGCTCCACTTAAAAACAAACACAACTTGGTTTAATATGGCATATCAACTAAGTTGAAATTGTAAATTGGTCACCATAAAGAGTTAAAAAGCTGACATTTTCGAGCCTTAGCGCTTCACAATTCGCTCTGATGAAGGGCTAATGCCCAAAACTTCAGCTTTTTAACTCTTTATGGTGGCCAATTTACAATTTTAACTTAGCTGATTTAACCAAATTACCTGGTTACCCTCACCAATGCAGCACAACAGTTTCTTTAGAAACTTTCACCCTTTATTCATATGGCATATAATAACTAACGCTAACAAAGGCTAAAACACCTGTCAAGACATGTGTTAGTCACTGTTGTGTGTTAGAAGCAAAAGTCCCCTTCCTGATGATTCAAGTTCAAAAATCAAATTGACTGACAGTTCACTCTTTTAAATTTAATATGACTTAAGGAGTGAAGAGAAAACAAGGGTCCTTTTTTTAAAAACAAAAATCTTACTGAGGGATTTCACTTTAGAAAATGTTAAAGCACTTGTAATGACCTAAAATCTAAATGTGGGTCTACTAAGAGTAACAAGCTCACAAAAGCAAATTGATTAAAACACTATTTATGTATATTTTTCAGTAACATATATTAAGTTATTAAAGTGTTTCACTAATTGCATACATATATGTACAATCAAGAAGAAATTTTGAGAACTTGCTCTATCTTGTGTGGCCTAAAAAACTCTATAAATTCAATACATATATCTTATTAATAACCAAGCGCGAGGGCCGTACTGGGAGAATATCGGCCCGAGGTCTTGACAGTACGGACCAAGCACAGCGAGGTCTGTACAAAAAAGACCAAGGGCCGATATTCTTCCAGTATGGTCCTGAGCAAGCTTGGTTAATAAGAGATTTATTATACGACTGAAGTTCAAAGGGACACAATGCGGTATCATTCGGGACCATTCGGCACAGTGCCCGGTCCAATACTGAGAGAATATTATTGACCGACGATAGAGCATTTTGATTGGCTGATTTTAGTTATTGGCCCTCTGACTGCCCGAGTCGGGTAATAATAACAGTTATTTGTTAACTGTCCCTCATTTTAAAACAGTTTGGAGCAAAAGAACATAAACTGGTCGGGAGATAAATGAACTCAGGGAAAGAGAGGCTGATAGTTTCAAAAGAAACTGTTTGGGGCTGCATTGGTGGGAGTAACGAAATAATTTGGATATATAAACAAAATTGAAGTGGTAAATTGGCCACTGCAATGATTCCAAAAGCTGATGTTTCAAGCGTTAGCCCTTCGTCAGAGCAAATCAGGGGAAGAGACACTTAAAAAAAGTTCTTATCATATTACAACTGTAGTTCAAGAGCTAAAAGATTGTACCAAGAGCCTCAAACCATGCAAGAATAGTGTTGTCATTAGTTGCCCAAGCTTCAAATTCTTCAAAAGAAATCTTGCCATCCTTGTCTTTATCTGCACAGTGGAAGACATTGTTCACCATCTCATCAATGGCATCCTGTGACATAGCTTCCATTATTGGCCACCTGCCATCAACTCCTTTTGCACTTGTGCTGCTTCCAGGGTTGTTCATTAACATCACTGGTTTACCATTTGCCGTGGAAGGTCCTGCATTGCTTGGAATAGGGGCATTAAATATTGAAGAAACAGGTTTGTCACCTGAATCATCAAAAGATGCCATCATTTCTTCTTCACATGATCTCACAACATCTCGGACAAGTTCAAGGCTAATTTCAAAGTATGCTTTGAACATGTTTCTTAGGTTCTCTTTAGAAATGTATTCTTTCTTTTCAATGTCACAGCCTGCAAAAGCATAGGGGATCTTCTCTTTCTCACTACCTTTCACAAGAATTGACAAACCAATGACAAACTCATCAATATCAATAATACCATCACTATTTTGATCATAAAATTTAAACATCTGATCCATTACAAGGTTCTTGTGTTGTCCCAAGGGTCCTAAACATTTGTCAAACACCTCACGTGTAATTCCTTCTTTCTTAGTGGCAAGAGTTTTGAACTGTTCAACAAGGGCTTCTATCTCTGAATGATCAAAATAAGTTTGCTTATGGAGACTTTGAACGTCATCCCAAGACAAGTCACAGGGGTGATCCTTGATACCTGGAAAAGCAACAAATACATTAAATTTGATTAACTCATAAAAAATAAATGATAAAAGAATGTTACAAGGACGTTTCAACCGTTTTATGGTCACTATCAAGTATAAATTGTGAAAATAAGTTAGAGTAACATGCGATATGCACAAAAGTATAAGTAACACATGGTGTGTATGCATACGATACTATAATTTTAAAATTTTAAACTTGATAATGACCACAGAACAGTTGAAAGGTTGTTCTAAAAAATTGTTACCATTTCTTTTATTACAGAAAATGATGTTCATTTCGCAATCTACTTGTATTTACACCCAGCTGTTGAACGTGTCCTTGCAAATTTGTCCAAATCAACTCAGTGTAAAGGATAGTTATTTTTCTTATTCTTACCTGGGTAGAGAGGTTTAAGGCAGGGTGCTCTGGGATTTGTGAGTGGAGGCATTGGAATTCTGATCTTTAGAAACAGATGAGTTTTGTTGTGATCATCTCTCGCTTCACAACGTTCGCACACATCATAGTCAACACAACTAGAACATTTATATCGTATTCCGCAAATTGGACTTGCTTGGCAAGAGTTACAGGTAATTCCACGGTGAATGTACCCTTCTTTTCTCGCCTGATCTTCTGCGATGTTGAACAGGAGGTTCAAAAGATGTTGTCCTTCTACTTTGGTGTCTAGATCGTCACTGACAGCATTTCCTTCCGCCTCAGAAATATCAGATAAATTACGCACCGGGGTTACTGCACTTTGTATTGAGTGCATGTGTTCCGAAGATCTCGGCAAAGGATCGTCGGGTGAATTTCTCCCTTCTGTCTGGTTCGTGGTTCTTGGAAGGAAAAAGAACCGTCTGGCTGCGTTCGCTCCCATGAAAAGAGCAACACCGGCCGCCGCGCCAAGCGCGAACTGTGTGACGGACCCCATGATTGACTAAAAATTCTGAGCTCAAGTTAAGAACAGCATCTGTTAACAGGATCATTTACTGGTCATTACTGAAATCTTCATTTTAGCCCCAAATCACTCCTAATTGGAATAATTTCCGATTCGAAGTGAGCGCTTTTTCGTATTTTATGGGCCGCTATCTGAGCCAAAAGCACAGCGGCTACTTGAAGTACACATGCTCAGAATGCTTTGTTTTTTAAACTTGATTAAACACGATAATGGCGGACGCTGAAACTGGTCGCGGTCAGTTGAAAGAGACAAGGAAAGCTTTATTTCGGACGCCAGATCAAGATGACAATAGTAAGGCACCAGGTAAAGAAATTTAAGATTTAAATTCTCCACATTTTCTCGTTCATAATGTTTGCACAAATCTAATCTTTCAACAACACTTTTCCACAATTTACAGAAGCGTTGGAGGCCTTACTAAACAGAATTCAAGTGGACATCGAAGTGGATTCTAACCTTCAAAGTCTTAGAAAAGGTAGTTGGAAAACTTCAATAATTTTTTTTCTCAAAATTGTTCATTATGGAGTATGATGATCATTTCAAAATCATCGATCAGGTAGAGAGAACTGCATGGTTTTAACACGTCGAGGTATTTCTAGTTAGCTTTTGATGGATAATGCCGAGCGGTTTCTTCATTATTTGTGATGCATGTACCCCTTACTTTTAGGTAATGTTGATGACTGACCCACTCTTTAAGCTTAATGCCCCAACCCTCCCCCCACAACCTCTACCCCCTCCCCCTTCACACCCTTCAACTATGAAGATCAATTGGTATAGTGAACCTAGCATGGATTTGACAGGGATACCATGAAAACTTTTGTAGTTAGAAGCTTATTTATTTGGAAACATTATGTAATGTACTTGATTACACATTTTTCTCAGCTTGCTCCATAATTAACAATCATCTGTAACCAATTTTTTTTTTCATTTATTTCAGAGATCCATGAACAGGCTCTAACTAAGTTGAGACAGGAATTGACTCAGATTGGTCAAGATGAATGGATGTACAAACCCATTGATCAGATTATTGGATTTTGAGCTGTTCATTGGGTTGCACAGTTACTTGTAGCAAGGTCCCAAGAAGGAGTTTAATTAAGGCATCAATGATGAAAAGACAACTCAAGTTAGCAGCACGTCACAAGACAACAAGATGCAGGTTATAGCTATGTTGGCCAAACAAGAGACAGCCAGGCAATTTTTGTACTGATAGAATGATGCTGTGTTGTTTCAAAGATTCCCACCATGACTAGGACTTACACTAACTTTTCAACTTACTAGCCAAGTGGCTTGTGTTAACTTAAATGTTTTTACAATTTCAGTTTGTTTCCTAGCCAAACTGGCTGGTGGAAATCAAAAACCACCTAGTCAAAACTGAATTTCTACCAGTCTGTGGCTAGTTTGCTACCATTAGTGTTAAGCTCTGACTCTAAGAGAGGGTTATTGATTAATGCACAGTGCAATCAATTGGAGATAAATGAATGACTCAGACACTTGACCCTTAACACCCTAACATCAGAATCCTAATTCTCCATACTCTTCTCTACACATTTTCTTTAGTACTGGCAAGGAGAATACAGTTAACAATCAAAGCTTCTTAGGTTGGCAGTCATTTACTTTATTCTGAATATCTTTTTTAATAATTCAGCAGTATTACACATTGTTCTCCAGAAGCACCAAGCAAGAAGGCAAGAAGAAACATCTAAGTGCAAATTATGTACAAATCAAGTACGAGTATCCTGCAATACTGTGGAGTTGGTAATAATGTACTGTCAAAAAACCTGTTTTCTGGTTGGCTGTGCATGTAGGCTTCTCTTTCTACCTCACTTTTTCAATGTGTATGAAATAAAGCAGTTGGATAGTAAACAACTTTTTAGAAACTTTGGTGTTTTGTATTGCTGAGTATTTTTATTCATTGTTTGTATTTTGAAAATATGGCACAACTTGTTAAAAATAATTAACGCTACATACCAAAACATTTAATAAGATATTAATTATATCTATACATTATGCTCTGAGTGGCTTCTTGTCACATAGTTGTGATGCTTTTTTATAATTCTCCTGGGCATGTTGTGTTGAGTTAGTTTTGATGTTACTCCTACATGTTGCTTTTTTTCCTTTGTCAAAATGTGCATAGTAATTGCATATCAGTCTGACAAAGAATAAAACAAAAGGAATAGACAAAACATAAAAACAAACTGAAATATCTTTGATTTATTTCACAATTTATACATTTTAGTGGGAATTGTGAAGAAAGATGACATAAGTACTAATCAATAATTGCACTGCAATGCATTTTAATGAAGTTTTACTCATGAAAATGCCTTCATCCAGCAACTAATAAATAAATTTTAAAGAATAACTGTTACAACAAACAAAACCTATTTTTTTAGTAAATATTACAATAATGATTTTGTTAATAAATTCATTTTTACCCAAAGCTATGCAATGTAATTTCCAGAGAATAATCTTAAAAATAAAGTTTCCTTCAAATTCTATTCACATATTCACACCAAAGTAGTTTGACCCATGTTACTTAACAAATGGTAAACACCACAGCGTACAGTATTGAGTTATGGATGCACGCCGGAGGTTGCTAAGCACGAAAGAAGCGTAAGAGTCGCTCGAGGCGATAGCCGAGAGCGACTCTAGCTTCTTAAGTGCTTAGCAAACCTCCTAAGTGCATCCATAACTCAATAGTGTACGCTGTGGTGTTTACCATTTGTTTTATAACATAACATTGATACATTGTAGCTAAAGAGTTCCCTTTTATTTAACAAATCTTACACAACCAGAAAAAACAAGCACGCCCAGAAAAATAGTCTTTGCATTTGCTCACGTCAGCAGCGTACACCCATGAGCAAATGGGGGATGCTAAATTGGCATATGAGAGTGCGGGCTTTACTTTGGTTATGTTATAAGCTTCTTTAACACCTGTGCACTGAGCTTGGAAGGTTGAATAGTACTTTGCCTTCACACAGATAAAAATCTTTGAGCCTTTCAATTTAACAGGCTGGGTATGTTACACTACATCTACTAAAACCCACAATCCCCCTCTCCCCCCAAACATTCATATGCATTGAAACAATAACTTCCAGCATGCTCTGGTTGAGCCAATCAAATCTTGGTTACAAAACAATGAAATCTTTTCTAGTTTGTTATCAGGTGATGTTTGTGCAATTACAGTGTTGAGTAAATATATGCAAGGCTTGGGTTTCTTCTGCATGCAAAAAAGCCATTTTAATGGTTGGGGTTGGACAGATGGACAGAAACACCGATTGAAACCTACAGCATGAACAGACTTAGAATCCTTTGATTTGAGATATAACTTGTAACTGACATTCATGGATGATTGACCTCCAATAAATATTAACCCTTTAAATTTTTCCCACATTACATATATCTTCAATTTTACCATTAGAAGTGAGGATAATAGACAGTTACTTAATTTGTTAATTCATATTACAGACCAGCTATATCTTGATTAAATTACAACAGCTTCATGTACTTTTTAAATCCCAACAGCTAACCTGTACAAGGATATGGGTCAGGAGACAAAAAGTAAAAAAGCAGAGAGTGAAAAGGCCTTGGGGACATTTTCCCCTTGCTACCTCTTTTTACTCCTTCCCATAAACTTGGATAAGCAACACTGTTAGATCTGCCAAAGCCTTACTGATTTACTTCCTAAGTATTTTATATTAACTACTGGCATATTATAACAAAAGTAATCATTGAAACTTAAAATAAAAGTCTTCCTAACTGAAACAGCAATTGCAAGTGTATCATGCACTCATCAATTAGCCATAGTCTCCAAGTAACCTGCTGGAACCCAGCCCTCTTCAACAGTTCTTGTGTGTCGTGCAAGCCACCACCCTTCCTGTCCAACTCTCAACAGTTCTAGAGTGTCTCCTTCTTGGAAAGATATCTCAGTGTTTTCCACAGCATCATAGCCAGCAACAGCTAGATACTTAGTCCCTCTGGATGGAAGATCTTTATTGTTATTTTCTATCACATTCTGTAATCAATTGTAAAAAATAAATGTTGACAAAAAAAAAAGCAACATAAAACATGAAACAATGTCAATTTTTTATGGTGTTCATTACACTCTATCTCAGCATATTGCCACATTTTTTGGGTGCTAGATTTAATTCAGATGGCATGTAGTTTGAGTTGCTTAACTTTCATTTTCTAGAACACCAATTTCTCATACTGGTAAAGGCAATTCCATATGTCGTACCTAGTCAAGTCAGAGGAACTTGAGGTGATGATTGAGTGATGAGATGTAATATACTAAGTGTATTTACCATAAGCTGGGCACTAGTATGTGGATCATGTTCATTCTGTTCTGGTTCATTAGAGGGAGACTCATCACTGTTGTCAGAATCAAATTCTTCAGTATCAAAGCCATCGTCACTGTCGTTGTCATCATCATCATCAGTAGAGTTATTCCTCTCCATGATGTTTGAATACCTAGTGTTGCAGAAGAAACAAGTAAGAATCACTCAGTACATTTTTAATGAAGAATTGTTCACCAAATTGTTTAGAAGCAGTTTACGACCCATTGACAGGTTACTGATGCGTCACCAACTGTCGGCCAACAGTCAGCCGAAAGTTTGGCCTGAAACATAGTGAAAACTGTCAGTCAACAGTCAGGTGACTGTCGGCCGTCTATTGGCCAACTGTCAACCAACAGACGGCCGACAGTCAGCCAACTGTTGGCCAACTGTTGGCTGACAGTCAGCTGACAATATCTTTCTGGAACTGTTCTTTCACTTTTACTGGACACTGTATGTAAACAATTATTGTGATTATTACCGTATTACCTGTTGTTGTTGTTGTTGTTGCTAGCTGCAGCACTAGATGCAATTGAAAATGAAGATTGACTTCTTGATCTTAGCTGTGATCCTGTTGAAGTAGGAGATGACGACAGTGCCGAGGTTGACTTCCAACGATCTAAAAAAAATACAAAAATCACACTCTGACAAACAAGAAGATTCAGCTAAATGAAACTATCAAACACAATTGACCAGTTATTTAAGATTTATCCACATCTCTGCTATGACACACTCACCATGAATTGTTGATTGTTCTGAAAAAGAAAAAGAAAATGGCAGATAAATTAACAATAGTTTACTAATGGTACACTGTACATGCTAATGACTATCTTAAGCCCAACCCAATATATGTTTGAAAATGTGTGTTTAATGATTTGATTCCCCCCACAAGAAAGAGTGATTTGGTGGATATAATTAACCAATCACAAAGTTTCCCCTGGAGCAACACTACTGCTAATCTAATTAGTAACCACAGGACACTATACATAATGCATCAAGGAAAAGGACAATACAATCCTATCCAGATTTTTAAATGTACGTGTACTTCCTAAAAAAAACTTGGTAAGAAGGTTAATTGAAGAATGAAATAAGGACAATATTCTAAATTCTTACACACCTTTTACTTGGTCAAACTGAGACTGAAGAAGGTTTCTTATTTCCTTCACCCAGCGGTTCTTAACTTCCAGAGATGCAGGCTGAAATATGAAATATGAACAAAAACAGGTGGCAATAAACAGTGAGCCAGTACATTGCAGCTGCGATAACAGCACTTTTCTTGTGACAAGTTACCATCAATATTTTATCTGGACTTGATAAAGGGAATCTGAACTGTACCCACAAATTCTATGCCACTCTTTTCAAAATTTATCAGGACTGCACCTCTCAGCTTGAAATAGTGGCGATGAAAAGTTACTCACTTGCAAGAGAAAGACTTCTGATCTCCCATTCCGCCAAAGCTCAAACTTTTCAGGAGCATCTGGCACTGTTTCAGTGAATCCCACATCACATGTCTACAGAGTTTGCAAGCAAACATATTAAGATTTAGTACATTATTACAATGTTGAATACTGAAGAAGAAAATATACAATTGAAGGCTACAATATTTAAGTCCAAACCAAAATTCAATTTAACTGCATGTGTTTAATTCATCCAATTCTCCATGACAAACTACCCATTGAAACAATTTGTCACTTGAGGGAAATAGTCCATGGTGGTGACTGTTAATAAAAGAATCATTACAAAGTTATGTATATGCCTGTTTACTGGGAACTGGGGGGAGGGGGCAAGTCTGTTGATTCGCCCAGTCTGGTAAAAGTCCCCTGCACAGTGTTGTAGAGCGCCATGAGCTCAGGATATGAGCACTATAGAAACAAAAGTTATTATTATTATTATTATTATTATTATTATTATTATTATTATTATTATTATTGGCAGTATATATACATCTGGATGCCGATCCTACTCACTCAGGCTAGGCATTGACAGTGGCTAGCCTAAGTCTCGTTTTACATACTAAAATTACATAAAATTGCTAATCTACTATAAAAGGAAAAAGTCACAAAATCAATAATCTAAATAAATAATGCTTCATAAAAACCTATTTGAGTCCTTATATAGGTAGCTCGCTGATGGGCATGTCAGCGAGCTACCTTATTATTATCATTACTATTATTGTTATTATTATTACTATTATTATTATTACTATTACTATTATCAGGGACATAATAGTAATGTGGTTTTCTCATGGCAAAAGTTCTATCTTGCTTAAATCAAGTCTAGACCCATGTGAACCATTAAAAATTAATCTATCATCACCTTTATATCCTTCTTGTACTGGTACAGAACTGCTTCTTTGCTTGTTTCTTGAACATCTTTCTTGCTAAAGATGATCAACTTTTCATACATAAATATTTGCCGTTGCTTTCCTCCTTTAAGGGGCAACACTTTCAGAGATTTATTTGTTTCCCACACCATAAAGGAGTCCTGAAGCAGCAACTTTCCTTGCTCAGCAAGGTTACCAGGGAAGGCTCTTATGCAGCATGAGTGCATAACATCATTCACATGCCGTAAGACTCCTTCCATGGTCTCAAGAGCTTTCTCTAGGTCATCATAGGCAGTGCTGTTTCTAAGTGTAAGTTTCATCATTTCCCTCAGAAGCAGCTGATATTTTGTGATTCTCTGGACTGGTTTGAGTAGGTAAGCACTCAATGGCAGTAGATGACCAAGTTTTTCTTGACATTCCTGAGAAAAAAGTAACAGTAAGTACTGTATCAGCTAAGAACCTAGGCCTGGGAAGAGATGAGTGCACATGAAAATTAAGAAGGAACTTCCCCACTTGAAAGACTCCATGGCCAAATGGTACATGTAATTGAAGATAATTTGGTTCATCACTGAGGAGCTTGAAAGGGTTCCAGCTAACACACGAGGACACTTGATGAAATGGCATGGAAGGCTTAGGATAAACTTTCATCTTATTCAGTGAAAAAAACAATACTCGTTTCAATAGCAGTCTGGAGACTGGAAGAGCTATTGACAAGATGAGGGCCTGGTTTCTAACCTTTCTTTGTTTTTTGATACTTACAGTAGTTAACAATGTGGACAACAACAGAGACTCTTAGATCCCTAAGCAGCTTGATCATGCTACTTAGGGCAACAGAACCACTAGTCAGCCAGTCAAACCAATATCATAATGCTTGACAGAACAATATGAGAACTCAAATAGATATTAATTAAAAGTACTTAAAACTGGAATGTAAGTCAAGAAAGTTTGGTTATGGTTAACGTTTGTACTTCAGTAAAATGAAATCTTACCTTGAAGAAAGGTAGATTGATGTAATCCAATCGCAATGCCTCAGAACTTGGTTTGTTCTTGCAATACGTTGCATACATTTCAAATTCATTACTCTTCATAATAAAAGTAGCACCCACCAAAGATGGCTGGTCTTGGCAAGACTCTAACTCACGTAAAAAGTCCTTCTTGTGAAATTCATAAATCTGTTTAATGTTCCCAAATATTATATTCTTTTTTCCCTGAAGATCTGCAGGAATCCTTTTTCCAGCTTGAGCAAATTCCTTCAGGTATCCTTTGACAATGTGCTTTAAGTCATAAACATAATCTTTTTCTGTTTGGATCAGTTCTTTCATCACTTGTGACCGCTTTCTTGCAGCTTCTGGACTGTCAGTGCCATCTACAATATCTCTCTTTTACCAAAGAAAACAATAGGAAATTGAAGAATGAATGGAAGACTGCACATATTTCACCAATTAAGACCACAATTTCTCCAATTACAATAAATTATAAGGAATGCAGCACAAGAGTTTTGGCCCTCGAGCTTAAGACAAGTCTTTCCACTAGCTCTTTGCCTGTTCTCCAAAGCACCGAAGTGGGTGGGTATTCTCCAAAATTGAAATTAAATAACCTGCACTAAACCATAGTTTAGTGCAGGTTGCTTACATTTTACAAAATCTAATAAGGGGAGAAAAAAGAAAATTTTTTATTTGATGCAAGTAAACAAACCTGTATACTTGGTTCAGAGAGGGATGAATGCATGCCATCTTGCACCTGAAGACTGTCTGTTATTACAATGGACAATGGTCGCTTTGGTGATTCAGGTGCGGCACTGGGCTTCTTACGTTCAACCCTGCACATCTGAACTATAGACAAAGTAATCATTTAACTGATGAACAATAAACAATAGAGTGTTTATGTCTCGGAACTATCAGCTGATAGTTGCCCCGCGGAAATTTGATGTTCTTAAAACAAATATTTGCCCAAGAAGCAAAGCTTCGAGGGCAAATATGCTAGTTTTAAGAACATCAAATTTCCAAGGGGCAACTATCAGACCGATAGTTCCGAGACATAAACACTCT